GGCTTCCCAAATCTCTTGCCGTGAATTTCTTTTTGCTACATTGTATGCTTTGTGGTCTTCCTCCCTCCCTGATTGATTCCAGATTTTAAACTGTGCATTCTTCTCCTCAGCAGCCGTTGTGACATCCTCATTTCACCGCCAGGTTTCTTTGTGTCTGTTTTTCCTTGTGTCCATCCGCACACCTATGCTGCTGCCTCGAGCCAAATCTTTTCATTGCCAGCCGTTTATATTTTATACCACTGGCCTTTTGGACCTTTGCATGTCTGTATTCAATAATAGACCGAAAGCGCTCCTGTTCTTCTTTCTTCTGAATTTTCCAGATCTGCAGCCTTGGCTTGAACTTCCTTCGTTTCTTCTTACCGGCCTTTATGTGGAGATCTGCAGCTACTAGGTGATGCTGAGAGTCGCAATCCTCTCTGGCAATTGCTTTCACATTCTTTATCATGGCCCAATCAGTGGCTCTTACCAGGATGGGATAGATTTGGGTTTTAATTCCCCCAGAGTCATATGTGATAAGGTGACTGTTCGGTTTGCTGAAGAAAGTGTTTCCTATCATTATTTCCATGGCTTAATTCAGCAACTTCTATAATTGTCTCCAACTCTGTGTTCCTTCTGCCGAATCCCATCCCTCCATGCTCACCCTAGCTGGTAACCATCTGCTAACTTGCCAACATGACCATTTAAGTCACCTCCTAGGATGATTGATTGACAATCAGGAATGTTGCAAAATTAACATGCATCAGATCCCAGAAGGCATCCTGTTCCTCCTGTGTCCTGCCTGACCGAAGTGCAGAGACAGATAGAATGTTGACAAGTTTGCTCCCTATGACTAGTTTTAGGGCAATGGCTCTTTCGCTTATCCTGTCCATGCTAGCCACCTGAGTAACCGATGTCTCGCTTAAGAAGATACCTAACCCAGCAGTACCATCATCTTTCCTTTGCCAGTAGAACTTATACCTGGCTCCTACACTACAAAGCCAACGGGCACTGCTTCCTTTCTATCGGTTCTCCTGCAGACAACATATATCAATCTTTCTCCGTCTCATCACATCTACACCTCTCTAGACTTTCTTGACATACACTCAAATTCCATGTGGCTACACGTACGCTGTTTTTCGAACCTGGATGTCTGATATTGTCCTTCTAACCGTCAACAGCGCCAGCATCAGGCTGTTTGCCATCATCATTGACACTAATTCGGTCTATTCTTCCACCACGGCTTTGCGAGGGTCGGTGAAAATCGAATGACCCGCGCCGTCCTTCGGGCTGGACGGTGCCCGTATTGTGCTTTCCATACAAAGAAATTTGATGGAGCTTTATTTTACGCCGGATGCCCTTCCTGTCGCAACCAGAAGTGGCCTCTTCCCAGCAGCTTTTCCACTCGTAGCCTTGGGTCACTGAGGCGCAGCGCTGCGCCCTGCAACCAGGAGCCAGTGGCCGTCTTTTCCTAGATGCATGACCAACCGGGGCCATGCTTTTGACAGGTGTTATTTTTCATCCTAGAGGGTGTCCACCTGTAGGCACCCTCCCACTGAGAGACTCGGTGGGGGCCGGATTAGTCGCCGGCAACTCGACCATGAAGCTGGCAGTACAGGCCTATATGGTTACCTGGAGCAACAAAACAGTTGGCCAGACGTAAATCGACAATAATTAGCCTATACCTAATAGAGAGGGCGTTTTATATTGAAAGCACTTTGTGGTCCTTTGGACGCCATATTGGATTTCGTGGTTTCCTGAACCACTGCTTAGTGATGATACGTGACTTATGGCCATATTTATGTTGAAATTTTGGGTTTCCTGGACCATCACAACCCATGTTTACTTATTTCCATGGATTCTTTGACCCTCACAACTAAGGGATAGACATCAAAATGATGTCTCTATAATATATAATAAGTTATTTATGATCATTTTTAGGTATCGGCAGCCATCTTGGACGCAATCTTTAGAATAACAGCTTTTTGAGGAGGGGTAATAAGCGGGGTCTTTCTGGTAGCATGTGGCTTTATCTCCAACATCACCGGTCTTGGTATCACCCTGGCAATCACAGGTATGTCATATTGAGAGGGGTTATAAACAGGATGTTTCTGGTATCATGTGGTTTTATCTCCAACATTACCGGTCTTTGTATCATGGCACTCACAAATGCGAATTTTCTACACAGTACTAGTCTTCTTTCCTTAAGTGTACTTAAATTGCATACTTGACATACATTTGAATATGACATTAAAATCAGAGCCTAACATAATGAATTAAGTACTGATTGTAATTGCGAGACATCTGTAGATTTCCGACATTGTACTAACGAGAGGTCGTCGACATATTTGAAATACGGTATAGGAAGTTGCTCACATAAATCGTTAACCATAATTAAAAAGAAAATTCGCCCAAGACGTGTACCTTGGGGAACACCAGCATGATTGAATTCAACATTTGATAAAACACCGTTATATTTTATAATCATGTTTACGAGATTCTAAAAAACTGGCTATCCAATCTATTATCCTACGCCTTATATCCATATGAATCATTTTTCTAATCAGAATTTTATGATCTAAGCGATCAAAAGCTTTACTAATATCTATACAAATAACAGATTTTCTGTTTTCTGCATTTTTATATAAACTATGTAAAATACCAACAATATAATGTGTAGTACAAATTATTACCTAATCGGTGAGTGTCAATATGTTTATCAATATCTTCTAATAACCATTTTGCTAAAAAGGATTCGGCTACTTTGGAAAAATATGAAGTTATTCCAATCGGGGTAGATTATTAATATGAGGAGGTTAAGATTTTGGAATCGGACATATTTCTGCAGTTTTCCATTGGGTTGGAACTTTTCCTTGTCTAAAAAATTGGTCTAGCTGGTTCCGCTGTAACCCTTCGGCAATATTCAAATCCAGGCATTCTTGAGCTTACCGGCGGGTGTCGTTGACGTTACTCTTTCCACTTTTCTTCAACTTTTCCAGAAAGGCTTTGAACTGAAGATCTTGTTATAAATTAGACACTTTAAACTCAGTACCTTTCACAATATCAACATTGCGAGTGGTTTGGAGATGCCTTTGCAGGTCATACCGCATCGATTGCATCGTGTTCTTACAGTTCAGCTATCCGGCCTTCTGGCGATCGAGCTCCTGCATTGAATCTTGAAAGAAGATTATCCAAATCCACGTCGCTCATTTACTCGATGTCACCAATATTGCATGTTGAGCAGTAATCCTTAAAGATAGAGACCGCGTACTTGATTTGTCTCTCTGCTTCCTCTAGTAACTGCTACAAACACTCCTCACTTAGTAATTCGAATCTTGGAGTTGGAGCTCGATCAGTTGCTAAGTCACTCGCCATGTTGAATTCTTAAACGCTGCACGTACCGTGCGATTGATTAACGTAGTCGTAACCTAGCGACTCAAGAAATTGAAAGCACTCTTAAAACCTGAACCAAATTTTTTTTTTTGCAAAAGTCGCGGAGCGGTTAGGCGTACTATCACAGGGTTTGGGCGTTCTATCACGTAGGTCAATTGATAGAATGCCCAAACCCTCTGACGCAATGATATATCGAGAGGCTCCTTGTCATGTGATATAGGTTTGACAAATCAGTGAATGACAATCTATGTACGAGGTATATAATAATATCTCTTGTACTGTATATTTACATGTACATGTTTGTTGTGAGAGGTAAAGGAGTTTTGACCTGTGTGCTAAAGCACAGAAACAGGGCACGCACGATTAATGAATTCCCAGTCTGGTACAACAATGTTCTGTTGATTTAAGGCGAAGGCCACCATCCCACTCCTGAGGTTTTATCGGGTTTTCCTTCCCTATACCCAAAGCCCAATGTCAGTTCCCCAGACCGCGAAGCCAAAGTATCCGGAGGGGCGGCGATTTCTTTTCATGACCGGGGGGGGGGGGGGGGGGGGGGCACATGTGATGGACGGGAGGCCTGGTGGGGTCCAGGGAGCAGAGCCCCCGGAAGCTCAGGGTTTGGGGCATTTAATCACGGTCTAAAAAAAATTTTATGCACCAGTTGATAACTGACTGTTGGCATATTTTCATCACACCAGTTGATTACTGGTCCGTGTGCATATTTTCAGTTGCGCCAGTTGATGACTGACTGTTGGCATATTTCTAGTTGAACCATCTGACACCAATTTGCATATTGAGTATGGGATGCGTGCAGATCTATGTTTTTTTTAATAATTTATCTGAATTTACAGCATATTTCTTAATTACTGATGATTTAGTTATATGCAATTCATTCCGAAAATACTACAAATATAAATTACCAGTTATTAGAATATTTTGCACTTCGTATAAATTACATTAAATTCAACATGAATAAGGGAAACATTAACTATGAACTAAAATATTTTCAATCAAATACAAGTATATTGGTTGATTGATTTATTGATTGGTTGATTGAATGTTTTATTGATTGATCAGTAGGTTTAGTGAATGGTTGTTTGGTCCATTGAATTTATTTATTAATTGATCACTGTTGATTTTAGGATTAAGTGGTTGATTAACCCACTATTCATCAGTTTAATGATGATTCATCTGATTGATTTGATTTAATTTTATTTGATAAGATTTATTGATTCATTGATTGATTGATATACTTCCCTGTTTCAGATTTACACTTCGTTTGACTAGTGAGACCAGTTTACTTTTATTTCTGTTGTAGGCATACTTTGGCAACAGTTGCTTTTGATGACTTGATAGCTTCCCCGAGCCTTACCCGACATAACAAAAAGTAAATAATATTTAACAAGGAGGACACAAGAAGCTTTGATATGAAGAAAAGGCGATTTGAGTTGTTTCTCACCAACATTTTATGAGGGACACTTTTTAAGTTATTATGCTCCTTTTCTAAGTTTTAAATTTAAGGTTTTGCAACAACAAAGAAGTTAGAAATGGAGTCATCAAGAGGACAAGAGATCTCCGTTTTAAACTGGAAGTGGGGTTACGTCATCATACTATGCAAATTCGTGACAAACATGGGATTTGGGATCATCAAGGCTTTCGGCGTTCTCCTTCCACTGATGGTTGAAAGATTCAACACAAATTACGCCACTTTAGGTTTCCTCTGCACTTTACCCGGTTCAATCATGCTATTTTCAGGTGAATTATTTGATTCTTTATAATTCTAATTATTATAACTAAGAACAATACACTCTATTTTTCAAAATGTATAAGACGTATGCATTGTGGCTTTCCATACCCCGTCCATCTACACACAATTTTGTATTTTTTAAGCAATTTTGTTTGATGTCTCCAAATGTGTAATACAAACCATAACATACAACTGAATAAAATAAACGTGTTCAATATTGATTGTTTTTACTTAAACATAATTAAACAAAAACTTATTTGCAGTATATATAACTTAGCAACAAAGTAAACGTATAAGTAGCTCAACATAATATATATGTCACTTGTAAATGTTATTCACTTATATACAAAAATTAAAAAATAAATAAATCTGGAGGTAATTTTACTGGAACAATGCCTGCTCCTCCCTGCCCCCTCCCTGCCCCCTCCGTCACACAAATACCCCAACCGACACACCCACACACCTACTCACTCACCCACCTACCCCTCACACAAACACTACTCATTCAGTGGATGTCTGCTAACATTCTCAACTCAAGAAAAATATACTAAATAAGTTATCCAGGCCGCAAAATAAAGTTACACTTTGAACAGGCTCACGGTGGAGAAGAAAACAAATCTTAATTAATCTTAAGCTGCTCCCATTTATGTGATCTGAAATGTGATCCCAGCTTTCCCATTCTAATTGCTATTTTCTTGTCCTCATCCCTTTACTTAAAAAGGCTTTTTTTCATCTTTTCAAAAGTTGGTACTCGCCCCCCCCCTGATCTTGACACAAATGTAACATTCTTGACCATGAAAATGATAGTATTACACATTTTTTATTCTATATGAACTACCTTCCAACCCAACAAATATATCTCGCCATTCTAAATCTTTAATTTCAAATAAAAAAGTCGTATTAAAGCCTGCCATATCCTTTAAACGCTCCCGCAAGATAAAAATAAATGTTTGTATGTTTCTGTTTCCTGCTTACAAAACGAACATAAATTATCACCAACAAAACCAAATCTATGAAGATGTTCATTAGTATATATGGCTCCATGCAATAATTTAAATTGAAAATCTCGTTATTTTCTAATGAGTATAGTAATTCGTGGTCTAACAAATATTTCTTTTGATTCTTTATCTATAAAATCATAATCATTTTGCCCATCCCTTACCTGCAAATCATACGTTTGCTGCAGTGCTTTGATAAAATAATCATAAATTGTTCTTGAACCCACATCTCAAAACTGTATTTTTTTACCTGAAATATGGAAATAAGTAGTAAAGCTTATAAAATCAACCTAGAGGAATTGTATTAACCCTGAATCATCCTTCCATAATCTGGGTATCGCATCATAAATATCAATAATCATAAGCAAATTATTATCTTTCATACCGAGGTTCATAACATATTTAACAGACTTAACATGGCATTTCTCAACCAAGTGATTCAGTTGAACAATCCCTCTTTCAACAAGTATCTATCAACTACCATCTCTATTTCACAATATTTACAGTTTAAACTCAAACATTCACACATACCCCACCCGTTATTCAACAAATTATCACTTAAAAAATCCTAAAATACTGTTAGCACAAAAATCAGTAAGACATCATGGACCAGATGTTTGGAACTCCTTACCAAATTCAATAAGGCATTGTTTATCTCTCTATTCTTTAAAGCATCTCTCAGAAAACTCTCATATCAAAGTATCTACATAACTGATTTCAACATGCAGTAGGCAATTGACAAATTTTGGTCACATTGCAACTCAGTTTTGCAATTTTTTTTCTTTCTATTTCTTATTCTTAGTTTCCTTTATTGTAAAGGCTATTTTGTTTCCACTCCACTATACCACACAGAGCTACGTGCACTTCCTATGGTGGCCCTGAAGGGACATCGCGAATAGACTAAATCGTGAAAAATATGCGATAAAATTCACGATATCGTCAATTTTATCGCATATTTTTCACGAAGAAATTCACGAAATTGACGATATCGTGAACTTTATCGTGAACTTTTCACGATGAAATTGACGATATCGTGAATTTTATCGTGTACTCTATCGTGTACTCTATCGTGTACTCTATCGTGTACTCTCCTGACGGGCGCTTCGTAAACAAAACCAGCCCTAGCTGGGGGAGACAGAGAGAAGGAAAAAAGGGAAAGGGAAAGAGAAGATAAAAGGAAAGAAAGAATAATAAGAAGAAAAGAGGGAAACGGGGGGGGGGGGTGAAGGGCTCTTGCCTCCTCCTCACTCCCCCCCCCCCCCGCCAAAAAATAAATAAGGAGAGAGAGAAGGGAAAGGGAAAGGGAAAGAAAATATAAAAGGAAAGAAAGAAGAGGAAGAAGGAAAGAGGGAAACGGGGGAAGGGCGAAAGGCTCTTACCTCCCCCCCCGCCAAAAAAATAAATAAGAGAGAGAGAGAGAGAGAGAGAAGGGAAAGGGAAAGACAGAAGAGGAATAAGAGGGAAACAGGGGAAGGGCGAAGGGCTCTTGCCTCCTCCCCCCCCGCCAAAAATAAATAAGAGAGAGAAGGGAAAGGGAAAGAAAATATAAAAGGAAAGAAAGAAGAGGAATAAGAAGGAAAGAGGGAAACGGGGGAAGAGCGAAGGGCTCTTGCCTCCTCCCTCCCCACCCCCCGCCAAAAAAAAAAAATAAGAGATAGAGAGAGAAGGGAAAGGGAAAGGGAAAGAGAAGATAAAAGGAAAGAAAGAAGAGGAAGAAGAAGAAGAAAAGAGGGAAACGGGGGCGAAGGGCTTTTGCATCCCCCCGCCCAAAAAATAAATAAGAGAGAGAGAGAGAGAGAAGGGAAAGGGAAAGAGAATAAAAAAGGAAAGGAAGAAGAATAAGAAAAAAGGGAAACAGGGGCGAAGGGCTCTTGCCTCCTTTCTTTTCTTTCTTTTCCTTTCTTTCCTATTCTCCCTCTTTTTCGTTTTTCTCTTTCTTTCTTCTCTTTCCCTTTCCTTCTCTCTCTCTCTCTTATTTATTTTTTGGCGGGGACGGGGGGACGAGGCAAAAGCCCTTTGCCCCCGTTTCCCTCTTTTCTTCTTCTTCCTCTTCTTTCTTTCCTTTTATCTTCTCTTTCCCTTTCCCTTTCCCTTCTCTCTCTCTCTCTGATTTATTTTTTGGCGGGGGGGGGGGGGGGAGGGGGGGCAAGAGTCCTTCGCCCTTCCCCCGTTTTCCTCTTTTCTTCTTCTTCCTCTTCTTTCTTTCCTTTTATCTTCTCTTTCCCTTTCCCTTTCCCTTCTCTCTCTCTCTCTGATTTATTTTTTGGCGGGGATGGGGGGGGGGGGGGGGGGGGGGGGGGAGTGAGGAGGAGGCAAGAGCCCTTCGCCCCCCCCCGTTTCCCTCTTTTCTTCTTATTATTCTTTCTTTCCTTTTATCTTCTCTTTCCCTTTCCCTTTTTTCCTTCTCTCTGTCTCCCCCAGCTAGGGCTGGTTTTGTTTACGAAGCGCCCGTCAGGAGAGTACACGATAGAGTACACGATAGAGTACACGATAGAGTACACGATAAAATTGACGATATCGTGAACTTTATATCGTGAACTTTTCACGATAAAATTCACGATATCGTCAATTTCATCGTGAAAAGTTCACGATAAAGTTCACGATATCGTCAATTTCGTGAATTTCTTCGTGAAAAATATGCGATAAAATTGACGATATCGTGAATTTTATCGCATATTTTTCACGATTTAGTCTATTCGCGATGTCCCTTCAGGGCCACCATAACTTCCACTATTCGTTACAAGCACATACAAACAAGCACGTTTGCGTGCACATGCACACACACAAACACACACCACCACATACGCACACATACACACACGCACACACACGCACAATATTTATATACACTTGCACAACACACTCACAAACTCATACACAAAGACAAAGATCGTTTTATAAACACTTTTTCATTTTAAGGTTTACCTTAAGTTTTTTTTTTTTTTGAGGCCGCCATCCTAGTCAAGCTTTGCTTATGATTGCGGTCTCCTGCACTTTTCCAATAGAAAAGTTCGGATAATACTTTAAATTTATGATTATATGTTATGGAAATATTAAGTTTCGTTATTATATGTACATATATTATGTAAAAAAAACATTTTGACATAAAGAAATTATTGTTTGTTTATGTTTTATTAAACCTTACATTTATATGTTCTTTGTTATTCAGTCATATTTTATATGGAAAAAATGCAGAAATCAAATCAAATCAAATAAAAAATATACTATTTTCATTTATACATATATTCCGATTATTAAAAATAATTGGATTAATATAACCCTCCAAATATCTCAAATTACTTGTATCTTGCCATGCTTGCAACATTTTCATATAGTATGGTGGAATATCTAAAACGAGTTTAATATTTTTTAAATTATAATCACATTAAAAAAAAAAAAATCTACCCCCCACAAACTGTAAGCAATGATCAAAAAATAATTTCCATCCCAATCTTTTCTCTCTATATAAAAGACGTTTTATCCACATTTTGCGCTGTATTTTAAAGGACATTTCAAAATTAATCATTCTTAATCATCCAAAGTCATAATCTTGATACATTATGGCCAGTTTAATTCTATCTTTCCCCCTCCATATAAATTCAAATGAAATTTGTGCAACTTCTTTGTATACCAAATGTATTTTACCCATAATAGTTAAATCTCTTTGTTTCCACCATACAAGCAATTTTTGTATTTTTACTTAGAATTTCTTTATAATTCAAATCATCTTATAATCTTCGATCTAATGAATAAACTAACCCCTAAAATGTGTATTTACTTAACCAAATTTGCAAATAAAGGCCCATCAGGTTTGTTCTCATCCTCACCCATCCACATCAAATGTGTCTTTGTTTTATTCACTTTAAGACCACTAATTTGTTCAAATGATTCAAAAATATATTACAACCTTCTAACCGAATCGATATCCTTCAAAAATATTGTCATGTCATCTGCTTATAACACTTGCCTAATTTCAGATTTCCCAAAATGTAATCCCTTTAATACCGTTGTCCCTCCTTACTGCATGCGCCAAAACTTCGATGGCAACCAAAAACAAATATGGCGATAATGGATCCCCTTGCCTTACTCCCCTTTCTATTTCAAAATACCCCGTGGAGTGACCACCGTTTATAACACAACTACTTATCCCTTTATACAATAATTTTACCCAAGAGCAAAATGAATCTCCAAAACCGAACAATTTCAAATATTTGAAATAAATATCTATGAGATACAGCGTCGAAAGCTTTCTAAAGATCCACTGCACACAAAAACCCTTTCCCTTGTTCCCCATTATGCATGAGCTTCGATCGTATACCAAAAATTTAAAGAAATGAGGATTACATTGAAGTTTCTTCTTTCTTTAAGGTCCGTTGGTACTCCCTCCCCCCTCCTCCCCTTCAAACTCTAAGCACACTGTTTCTTTAATTTCTATATTTCAATCAATGTCCATGCAGGTCCTTTCGTCTCCTTGGTCCTCCAGAGGGTAGATCATCGACTCGTTGCCATGTTAGGAGGGGTAATAAGTGCGGTCTGCCTGGTATCATGCGGTTTCATCTCCAACATTACCGGTCTTGGTATCACCCTGGCGCTCACAGGTATTCAAGATTCAAGATTCATGATAATGTATTGTCTGATTTAAAAGATACAGAAATTTGTCCTCCACTGGCGAGTTACATATATATATATATATATACAAGCAACATAAACAATGTATAAATACATTCGAGGATACGAAGAAAATACAAGAATAATAATAATAGCAATAGTAGCAATAACACAACTGACATGTAAACTTGAAAACTGGCAATAGATATCGTATGTCATATTAGGAGGGGGTATAAATGGGTGTGTCTGGTATCATGTGGTTTTATCTCCAACATCACCGGTATTGGTATCACCCTGGCACTCAAGGGTATGTCATATTAGGAGGAGTAATACATGGGGTGTGTCTGGTATCATCATCATTCGGCTTCATTTTAAACATTTAACAGCTGTTGGCATCACCCTGTCACTCACATATATGTCATATCAGGAGAGGTAATGGTTTCATTTTAGGTAGGTAGGGATTTATGTTTGTCCGAAAGGGAGCAAAATATATCAGCGATAGAAGAAAACAAAAGCACCAAAACATTTTTGCGGCAATCCTGCAGAGTGAAGAAATAGCATGAGAGAACTATGGTTCTATAAGAAGTTGAAAGCGAGTTGTACTGCGCCCGACAAAACTTTGTGCAGTGGCATATTATCCGTTTCCATTGTCTATTGAAGTAGTAGCGAGCAATGATATATTTAACATTAATCTGCAACATGTTTCAGTTCTACTACTTTTTAACAACATCTTGTTATCTCATTAACAGGCATTGGCCGATGTTTTGTCTACCTACCGATTTCTCTCCTGATTAACCAGTATTTCAAAGAGAACTTTGTTCTAATGAACACCATAGGATCATATGGTTCAATTACAGGCGTAATTTTCCTACCCGTCATCACTGAGCGATCTCTAGAAGCGTACGGTTACTGTGGAGTTTTCATGATTCTTGGAGCAATCATGTTTCATAATGTTGCAGGGGCAGCGGCCATTCGGAAACCAGTCTTCAGCGTGAAAGATAACACCACTGGACAAAGTGGTAGTGATCAAGATCCGTCGGAGGATGACGGCGAGGAAGATGGTATAGAAGGAGGTGATCAAATGACCACATTGAAAGATGAATCGAGAAATGATATGGTCCAGGCCCAGGCAGAAAGCCGTTTTCACACCAAGGAAAACTCTGAAAATACGGACACACAAAATGCTGCAATCGAAGTAATTGCTTTTTTAATATCCGATGAGGATGCAGGGATTTTAAATGACGATAATAACTGTAAGGAGCACGTTCCTTTGCTAAAAAGTGCATTTGATCATCCTGGTGAAGTGGATGATCTTCCTAATGCCCCCAGATCTGGTCAAAATGTCCGCACATCATTTATATCTCGCTGCAAACTGTTTATGACAAAGGAAACTCTGTTCCTAATGTGCCTCCCAGCGACTTACTTTCGTGCCTATTCGTTTGAATCCTGGGCGTTGTACCTAGTGCCTCACGCAGAGCAGATAGGCATCACCCCATCTCGAGCTGTCTTCTTGTCTTCAATCGGTGGAATCAGTGGGATTATAGGCAGGACAATTGCAGTCATTCTCCTCGTTAAGAAAGTACACATGCTCAAAATCTACATTATCGCCGGTTTTATTACCACCCTGTCATTTTTCTTGGATTTTGTTGGCGAATCATTCATGATTCGTTCAGTTTGGGCATTTCTTCAGGGCCTCTGCTTTTTTGTACTGGATACTGCAGACCCAACTTTTCTTAAATTGACGTTGGTAGATGAAAGCAACTTCAGCTTCGGCCTTGGACTGGTGATGTTAATGAAAGGTTCTGGTAATGTCTCGGCAGGGTTAATCACAGGTAGACCACTATATCTTGACACTCTGGAATAATAGATACAAGCTTTGTATATTATTATCACAAAGCTGACTAAGACTAGAGAATGCCTCTTTTTATAACAACTTCTTTTGTCAGTTCAATATTCGATTAATTTATCATCCGACATGTAAAAAACATATACATATTGTATAACAGTCATACATAAGCTGACAAATAAATAGACTAAAAGATGCCTCCAATAAGTACGAGGCTTGTATAAAACAGAACGCCAAGCAGTTCATTATGAATTCATAGATGTATTTTAGTTAAATAAAAGTGTCCCTAAAACGCACATCAGGGTTTCCTCCTCCATGTTACTAGTGCAAGTTTTATTAACGTTCCACCCTGTTTCGAGATTTGTGACAATCTATGATCAGTGAAAAGCAATACAACGTGTCTTTTTATTCTCAAATATCGAAACGAAATGGTATTTTTCCTGTTTTAATATCATTTTTTAAATATTTTTACAACTTGTTTTTTTACAAAACTGAAAAAGATAAGCCTGTCATTTTTTAGAGCAAACTTCATGATAGGTATTTTGCCTGGGACTTTCTAAACAATTAAGCTATTTCAGTTTGACTCTAAAACAAAAAATATTTTTCATTTTTTTCAAATAGAACCAAGCTTTCAAACCCATCTGTACTAGTGAAAAGGAGAGATTAGACCACTCTGCAATGTCACTGGACAGGTGGTTATCTCATCAAATCAGCTCTCAAATAAAATAAGAAAAAGAGGATCATGGGGGACCAATGGTCACCGATTAGGCATTTTTTGTTATAAAGAGGGCGCAAGTAGCTGCAGTGGGGCTTTAAGCACTCAAAGATTAAATCTGAGGGGTGCGTTCAAGCGACCCTTTTTCACCCCAGAAAAGTGGTTTTCAAAGACGTTCAGTTTAGAACACGGGCGTTCAAGCGATTTCAAGCGTGTTTTCTTTGGTCTTAAAAATAAACGTGTTTCAAAACGCAAACATGAAACGCTGAAAATGATGCGTTTTGTAACGTGATTCTGCAGAATCACGGTCGCTAAAAATCGCTTGAACGTAACGGAGATCTCATTCAAGATTCTTTGACGTCATTATCGTGGCCTGCTTCCGGTTCGGGCAAAAACCGCGCGCCTGCTTTGTACTGTGCATATGATCTGCTCCGAAGTTGACATGAACTTCCAGGGTCAAACTGTGCAGATGATAGGCTTGAAATAAGCGAAAATCAGCGTTGATGGAAAATCGCTTGAACGATCGTCCGAAGTAACCGTGTTCGGTTACGGCGCTTTGATTTGTGATTCATGTCTGTGATTCTAGCTTTAAAAAATCACTGGAACGCACCCCTGGACGACTCATCGCCTATTATTGTGTGCTATTCAAGATATAATTGACAATTCAGAAGCGGATCTAGAGGGGGGGTTGGGGGGGTTGCAACCCCCCCCCAAAAAAAAAAAATCCGGGGACCATTTTTTTAAAATCTTATCTTTTTTTTAAAACTGGTAATTTTATTTTATTCTATTTCTATGTATTTATTTCATTTATTATTATTATTATTATTATTATTATTATTATTATTATTATTATTTCTTTTTGGGGGGAGGGGGGGGGGGGGGGTTGGGCGAACAAATGTCACAGAGTCCCTTGCCAGGCGCGGATCTACGGGGGGGTTTAGGGGGTTTAAACCCCCCTTGGGCGGCCCCAAAAAACAAACAAAAAAAAAGGGGGAAAAAAAAGAAAAAAAAAAAAAAAAAAAAAGAAAGAAAAAAGAACGCACGCTGGAGAGAAACCCTTTCAAGTGCAAATATTGTGAGAAGATATTCAACTCATCTGGTAACTTAACCAAACACATGATAACTCTGGATATAACTGTGTATTTAACTGTTACTTGATTTAAAAAGACGTTATCATGCACTGCTTTTTATGGTCTCCATTGTGTTAATAGATGCCAGGAAAACATCACTTACGGGGTTCAAATAAACCCCCCCCAAAAAATCGGCTCGCCGCTTCGCGGCTCGTGGACGATGCTCCGCATCGTCATTATTTTGGTCAACCCCCCCCCTTAGCAAAAAGCTAGATCCGCCCCTGCAATTTTTTTCTCGATTGTTTCTTAATCTATTCTCCCATCCAGGAGCTTTGCTTGACGTCATCCAGTCTTATACCATCGTCTTCATGATGATTGGAATCCCTGTTTTGTTCTTCACCATTAACACTGTAGTCATATCGGTACTGTTAAACAGAAGAGTCAAGTCCAAACACGTTTAACATCGCTCCAGGCATGATTGATTGAAACGAATCCTCTCTTCACCCAGGAGCTTTGTTTGACGTCATCCAATCTTATACCATCGTCTTCATGGTCACTGGTATACTTGTTGTGTCAACTCACCATTTCGTTTTAGTCGTATCGGAACGGTTAAACAAGAGAGTGATTTTTTTTTTTAAAGTTTAGCATCGCTGAAAGTTAGATAGTGTTTTTATTTTAAAAAGTTATGGTAAACGGGATAGTTGAGTTCTGTTGCAGAGGGCGCTACACAAAAAAAAATTGTGAGAGAATGAAAAACTGAGTGTTAAATTTGAAAGGACATACAATTAAAATGACAAAATCGTCTTTGTTTGACCGAAATCGATTCAGAAAAGGCTGAAATATCTGTAAATATAACCTTTTCTAATATTTGTGTACCACCAGAGTTAAACCAAATTGAACATTGTACTTCAAAGTTTTTTTTATCGTGAATCATTTGCTTAAGCAGACATGCCTGTTTTGGTTTAAATGTTGTATTATGAACAATAATATATTCTGAATAAATTGATCAGATATGTCATCTTTAAAATCTGTTAAGTTGTCATAAACATTGGGTTGTTTTGAATAGCCTTTGTCATTTTGCTTTATGCTGCCTTGTTTTTTTTATTTGTAATATGTATTTTGTTTGAGGAGAGTCATGGAAACTGAAGAATATTTGATGTAATAACTGTGATCAGGTAATGTGAACATCTGTCATTGGATAACGTATTTCCAGTAACCAAGTTAAGAACATATCACCCCAAATTACTCAGAATAGAGTTCTTAGACATACTAAGAAATTACCTGAACATCGTTGCCGAACAAAAGAGTGAAAAACAGCCCCATACTATCACACACAATGTAATGAAATCAAATTTGTATGTAGATTATTTTATATATATAAATATATAACTCTTTTATATTTATACTGGGGTATAATATTTGTATCTTTATAATAGAAACACTACATCTCCTGTATCGAAGTTAAAAATCTGTGTTAACCATTTATTGCTAATTGTTTAAATGACTAAAATTATCTTCCATGGCCAATATCACAGATGTCTCCTCTTCGTCTTGTACTTTTACTTTCCCATCTCCTTCTTTATCTCACCCATCTCCTTCCTTCTCAATCCTCTTTTCGCTCTTTCTCCTTCTTCTAATAACTCCCCCTTTTTATAGTCTGGATAAAACATTATTACCTTTTACTTAGAGTATCTATTACCTAAGAGTAAATTTTTAATTTGTACAATTTGTCATATAAGTGTTGGTTTTTACATAACTTCGTCTCTATCATTTGTAGTTTTTATAATGTGTAATGCTTGGATATTGATATCGAAACCTTATGATAGTGTTACTATTCCCACTACCCTCTGTCTATCCTCTTACTATACCCACTTGAATCTTCTTCTTCCTCCTTCTCTTCTACCTGTTCCTCTTCTTATTCCTCTTCAGCTTCTTCTTAATCTTACCATCTTACCATCCCTTTTCTTTCTCTACTCTATACCATCATCGTGTTCTTCTTCACTTTTATCTCCTTTTTATATAGAATGAATTAGGGAGATCAAATAAGATATACAATTTGTAAAGATAAATATTATTTTATACAATTTCCTTATTCAAATTCAGTTCATTGATTTTGATGCTATTTGATATGATTTTGTTTATATATTGTATTTTACATTTTTAAAACATTGCCCAATTCGGCCGTTTAGGCCGCGATGCATTGTTGTTATTTTATTCTCAATAAATCCATTATCATTTCAATTTCAATCATAATACCTCTTATATTGTAGATGTACATGTATGTGGGAGGTAATCTTTTTGATGGTTCAGTAGGGAATGATGTAACTCTGATAATAAATACTTGATAAAAGATATGAAAATCTTATATGGAGTAATTAGAAAACTATTTGTTAAAGGTCAAACATATTACATGTATCTCCCTTGGCAGATTCCAGAGAGAGAGAGAGAGACAGAGACAGACGGACAGAGAGAGAGAGAGACTGACACAAAGAGAGGGAGGATAGAAATAAAGAAAAAAAGACAAACAGACACAAAGAGAGGGAAGGATAGAGAGAAAGGCAAAGAGACAGAAAAAGAACGATGGATGGAGGGGGAAAAAGAGATTGAACCATTGCCTTGTTACAGGAAAATCCTTCTGTCCAGGGGAATTGCCGTATTAAATCGAAACCTTGTTCTTTCAGGGCTACCAAACAAAACAATTACATACAAAAGGAAAAGAAACAATAACATAGAATACAAAGAAGTAGACCTGGAAAACGAACCCCGGAACAGCGAGAGTTTGTTATAACTAAGTTCTTTATAATGAAGTTCCACTATACTTTCTTCATAAGAAGGTGGCTTGAGAAGAGGATAGGAATAACAAGCGCTGATTGAAGTTTGATCGATGAATAATAACGCAATTTCGAATCAATTTTAAAATTCAAGATCAGTAATCACTATGATCATGATTCTCCATTTCTGTTGCTTTACCCTTTTCCTGCATGTTTTTCTTTTTTGTTCGAAGTGATATTATAATGGTGAAACAAAACTCATGACCCGTCCTTTAAAATGCTACAATAGCGAGATTTAGATTTTCGACACCGAACGACCTCTACTACGAGTGACGTCATTTTGAGTGACTGCGCATGCGCCACCTGCTTCAAGCTCGTCGTCTGTGAGCTGACACAACGGGAGTCGGGCAAATTTTAGGCTTATCTCGAAGTGATCACAACGACTACGAGCTGGACACAAATGCCGAAGCCAGCAATCAGACTACAGTATCTGGTGAGAATATAATTCAAGAAGATATATGTGACTGCAATGAAAACAACAAATACCTATGAATTTGATCAATCACGTTACTCTAGCCTATTTAATTTCACTTTTTTGACGAAATTAAGAAGTTTTCTGCACAGATGGTTCGAACAGCTGTGCAGACTAACTATGACGTAACAAAGAAAACTTGTCGCGCGCATATCACTGCGTATCACTTCGCATCACTGCGCATGCTTTTAAACATTGGCACCGCGTCGTGTGACCTCTAAAGCGCCAGCAAGAGGAGACCCAACGTGGATTTAACGACGAGCATAACAATGACGTCACTCGCAGTAAGGGTCGTTCGGTGTCAAAATCTAAAGCTCGCTTATGACCGATTACTACGCGAAAATCGGGAACTCTGTATTAAGATGGGTGCAGAAATGTTCTTTCCAGCAATCCAAAACAAATTCTCCTGGGGCAGTTTTAAGAACCCCCTCTTTGTTCTTGGGTGCTGGCTGTACCTTTACTTCTCACCTTCTAGTTTTCTTACTTTCTTAATTAAATAGCTCATGGTTGTCTGTGCGGCCTCCACTTCCTCCACTTCTTTATTGAGAGTCTCCCTCTTCCATTTTTTGATTTCATATTTAACTTTTTTGTTAAGGCGCCTAGATTTCTTTCTGAGCTCACAAGCATCTCTCACATCTTCAGGGATATGTTTCACTAGTTTCCCTCTCCTGATGCCGACTTGCTTAGTAATCTCATTGGTTGCATTCATGAACTTCAGCCAGAGTTCATCTACGTCTGTATCTTCCAGCTGCAACAACGGTTAAAACGCTCCACCAATTCGAGCTTGGAATCCTTTTTTTAACCTGCCCACATAATATGACTTCTGTACGCTTTTTATTCTTCTAGCTTTTGGTGGCTGAAACTGTACATTGGCTTAAACGAGGATGTGATGTGATCCAATGTCAGCAGAGCAGAACGGCCTCCTATTTTTGACGCTCTTTAAGTCATCTTGCTACACCAAGATAAAGTCAATTTGTTTCTTATATAGGCCACCTAAGGAGGTCCAAGCTGCTCTTCTACAGTCCTTATGTTGGAAATATGTGTTACAGACTGCTAGCCAATGGATCATACAAAACTCCATTAGCTTTTCTCCTCTGCATTTCATCATTCTAAGTCCACACTTGCCTAAGGCAGGTCCCATGTTTTGTAGTCTGATCCTATCTTGGCATTGATGTCTCCCATAATTATCAACTTCTCTTTGGCATTTGTTGGATATTTATTTGAAGCAGGTCATTAAGTGCATCACTCTTTTGTCACTATGTCCCGTTGTGGGTGCATAAACTTGAATGATATTCATGATTCCTCCTTTCATCTGGAATATAATGTTGCTGTAATCCTTCTAAATGATACTGCTTTATAACCCAGTAGGCAGGAGAGTATTTTTGGTGAAATCAATATGCCATCTTCCTCACAGCTTCTATTGTCTTTCGACTTGACAGTTATTAATGAGGGTACCCAGATAGCAAAATGTTGTGGAGCCTATCTGGGTTTTATGTGGTTTCAACTGGGCTGGTCCACTTGGGCCCCAGATGGGCCCCTTGTGGGGCCCATCAATCTGCACCCGGGTTATAGAAGGGCCCCAGATGGGCTCACGTGGAACCCAGATTGGCCCCACAATTGAACCAGCAATATGCACAAGGGTTACCTATTGGGCACCAGATGGGCCATGTGGGTTTTATGTGGGACCTACCACATATGGGCCCATAATTATGTGTTGGTACTTGTGGGTTCTGGGTGGGAAAGCCCATCTGGTATATAACCTGGTTTTTAGCTGGGCCCAGCCGATGTTGGACGTGCGATTTTCACCACCTAAAACCATATAGGGCCCACATGGGGCCCCTATGTGTCGGTAGTTGTGGGTTCTGGGTGGGAAGGCCCATCTGGTATACACCTGGTGTTCAGCTGGGCCCAGCCTATGTTGGACGTGCGATTTTCACCACCTTAAACCCACATGGGGCCCATATGTGTCAGTAGTTGTGGGTTCTGGGTGGGAAGGCTCATCTGGTATACATCTGGTATACACCTGGTTTTTAGCTGGGCCCAGCCGATGCTCGACGTGCGATTTTCACCATCAAAAACCCACATGGGGCCCATATGTGTCAGTAGTTTTGGGTTCTGGGTGGGAAGGCCAATATAATAAGCATCCTGTTTTTTTATGGGCCACGTGGGCTTTAGTCGGCCCATAAATAAATTCTCAACCATAAAGTCTTTAGAAATGAGTCCCTATAATAGTGGCTTCGATGACGAAAAAAGCCTATCCTTGATTGGTAGAGTAATTTAACTTTAGATCTAGCGCTAAGTAATAACTTTACGCGGCAATTTCATAAGCTGTATTATATAAGAGCCTTTTAGAGGTGTAAAGATCTATGATA